TTGATATTCCTCTGGCTGATAGGTATTTTCTTTCTCTTTATTCTTAACTTTAATATGTAAATAAGTAAATATATAAATAAACTTAAATTAAAATTAAATATTTTTTAAATAAGAAATAAGGAAAACTATTAAAAATTATATTATATAAATAATAATTAATATATAATTAATAATTATATGATTGCTTTTTTTATCAATCTATCAATTTTAATGATTCAAATATGTTATTAAAGGCATTATTTTAAAAAATATCTTCCTTTACACATTAGTAGTTGACTTTAATTTTCGAATTATTTATGAAAAAGTTTTGATACTACATTATTGTTTCTACATTATTGATTTCTATTTATAAGTTTCTAACAAAATATGCATATTTGATCATAAATATACATATTTAATCATTTTTTATTATATATTGTACACATTTTTTTACATTCTTTTTATAAATTATAACTATAATATATAATAATTATAAATTCTTATATTTATAAACAAAAATAAAATTATATATTGATACATATGCTATCATGGATGCACACATAAACAGAATATAATAATAAAAGATTTTTGAAAAGAATTTGAAAACTAATGTCAACTGCTAGTTATATCTAAAGAAGAAAACTATTCAATATAATGCCTTTAATATATTTCAAATTTGTTGAAATCGATGAGAAGATAATATTGAAAAATTGATCAAATTTTTCTTTTAATAAATATATAGATGAAAAATTAGATCATATAAAATTGATAATTATTAATAATTATTTTAATTATTATATATAATATTTTTTAAAAATTAACTTGAAACAAAAAATAAATATTATTGTATAATAATAATAAACAATTATTGTATATACATTTTATATATCTATAAGAAATTCTTAATTAAATGTATTAAAATAATCTCTTTATTATTTAATTTTGATAATTTTTCTTTTGATTTTTTAAATCAAGTTAATATTAAAAAAGACTATTTGATAATTTATTAATTTCAATGATCTATTCTATTAAATTCATTACACAATATTTTAAAATTATATCAAGTATTTATTTTAAATTAATGCATTTTTTTAAAGAGACTTCAAAATAAAATTTTGTTTTAGATGTAAACGACTTAAATACTCACGGAAGATTAAATATAAAAAATAATTTCATTTTTTAAATACTTTCTAAAAATAATTCATAAATACATTTTATTTATTTTTATTTTCATTATAGTAACATTATTTTATTTCTGATTTCGATGATTTTTCGATTTTTTTTTTGGATTCTTGAAAAATAAAATAAAAGATAATCGAAGTTATAATAAAAAATTAACAAAAATTATAACAAAAATTACAATATATATAGTAATATTGGCTTTATATTATTTATTAATATCTATTATTTCTAACATCAATCATTGTAATTTTGGTCTCTCAAAAATTGTTTTATATTATATTTTCAGATTCTTGCTATTCTTGCTATGAATAGATATTACATGTGTCAATCGCAATTTATATAATATTTTAATATAATATTATATTTTTATTATCAAAATTATAAATAATTGATAAGTAGCATTCTCATGTTGAGGCACAATTTTTTTGCAAATATCTCGAAAATTAAAGCAAATCACTTATTATACATATAAGAAAATATTAATTTCTACAATATATTCCATCGAAATTATCGAAATCAGAGAGAAGATAATTTTCTGCAACTTTACCTTGTTTAAAAATTTAATACAATTTGATTAATATAAAAACTTTCAAAATTAATTATTATAGTGGGGAAGAACCTTCCAGTCTAGGAGGACGGTTTTCCAAATCATCGTCCGAAAGAGAACAAATCCTACAGCGTCGTAAAGAACTACTAAGACTTGCTGCTAAGAAGAGATATTTCGAAAAACGCCGAAAAAAGCATGAAATTGACCAACATGTTTCTAATGTCACCTCCTAAAATATTGAAAACAGAGAGATATATATTGATATTTTTGATTTTTGTGCTTCGTAGCGGCCATCTTCTTTAAAGAAGATTATAACGACTGATTTCTTTGAGTACATGTCCACTGATATCCATTTACTTTTTTTTTTCCTTCCTTTTTTCTTTTTTATTATCAAATATAGAGTTGCCAGAAGTAAGAAAAAAATGATAGCATAAGAAATGATGAATATGATAAGAAATAGTGAATATGATAAAAAAAAGAACAAATTAAAGTCACTGGTAAATGATAGGAATTTGGAAACTGAATGACGCGCGTTGACACTTTTATATCAGTATACTTTAGATACATAATTCGTGGATATATTATGGATTGATTATGGAAGATTATGGATTGTAAAGATATTAATATCATTAATTTTCGTATAATATATTTGTATTAATATATATAACACTATGCGATATCATCTTGCGTTTAGTAGAAAATTCTTCTGGCAACACTGAATTGTATCTTATTTCCTTTTTATCTTTTTTATGTAAGCTATAATCTTTATTTCTTGTTTAAGAATTTTTGAAAAATTTTAATTTTCATTGCACTTTTAAAAAAGGGCAAGTTTTAGGCAGTTTTTATTTTCATTAATTTTATTTTTCTCCTTTAATTTTCAAAAAAAATTTCACACTCATCAATATTATATTTGCTTTTTTTTTATTTTATTACCATATTATTTAAGATCTCGATCTTTAGCAATAGATTTCTTAAAAATTATTTTCCAGTCTCAAAAATAATTTTTGAAAAAATATATTTTATTATTTTTAAGTGAAAATATGGACAATTAACTTAAAGTATTAATCATTTCATTTTTTAGTGCTAATAAGAATTAACTTAAAAGTATTATTCGCTTAATTATTTTTAATTCTTTATTTATTAAAATTAAGAAATATAAATTTTCAGAGATCTTAACTTTTTTTTTTATTTCCTTCAAAAAATTTTTTTGAATCTTAAATTTATACATTAAGAAAATTCATAGAAAATTTAATTTCTTATAAAATTATAATATCCTTCACAAATCTTTTTTTTATAAAGTTAACATTTTTATTCTTTAAAAAAATGCTACTTAGATTTTCATTTATTTTCTGTAGAAAAATAATTTTTTTGAAAATCTATGTATTTGTGTTTTTAAGATTTTTTAAAGTTTTATTTTTCTGTTCATAAAATTATTATTCTTAAAAATAGAAAAAAAGATTTTATTTTAATTAATCAACTGGTTGTGAATTATATATTCATTATTAGAGGACTGATAATATTATATTGTTAAAAGTAATATCATTTATTTCATTTTTTTTAATTTGAATAAAAAAGGAGATAAAAATTTAGCATTTTTGTTAATAAATTATATTTTAATTTTTATTATTAATTTTAATTTTATAAGTACAAACAATTTGTTTTTTTTTTTCTATTTGAAACAAAATTATTTAAAAATCAATGATCTATATTTATTTAATTTTATGATTTATACATGTCTTATTTATATGTAATAATAAATAGGATTATATATATATTATATATAGGATTGGTTTAGTTGGGCTTTATTTATATATACACGCGTGCGTGCATACATACATACACAAATAAAATGAAAAAATTTTACTATTCGTTAAAATATGCAATTTGTATAAATAAATATTAATTCAATTATTTTTATTCTTCAAGTATAATACTTATTCATTTTTAGCAGGATTCAATTTCAAATTTAAATGTAATAATAATCTTAATAATTTATTATAAAATTTTACAAATCAAATTTTATTTTTCATTTTCAACCAATGAAATTCATAACAACAAGATGTAGAATTACATGTGCAAAAATAAAATCTGCAAATCCTCTCTCTGGACTTATTCCATGAAATTGATTTTTATTTTGGGGATTCACTTGTAGTCGTAAGCAAACTGAAACATAATAAAAAAAATTAGAAAATATGCTATGTAATGAATTTTAACATAAAAACTTTTATGAATTAAACTTAATATCTTTATTATAAAAATTAGTTAAAGAAAAATATTTCATATGCATAATTTCATATTTATTACAATAAAAATTTATATCTCAAATTTTCATGATATAAATATTTATAAAATATACAAAATGGAAAAAAAATAAAATATTAATGATAAAATTTATCATAAATTTGTTAGAAAGAAAAATATTTTAATACATGCAAAATCATATCATAATTTTTTTTTACATCATATTAAAAAAGATTAATAAATATAATTCATTAAATTCTTTTAATAAATAATTATTTAATTAATTATTTATAAATATAGAATATATAATAAAAAAGATGCTAATAAAATTCTACAATCATATTCATAAAATTTCCATATTATAAATTATATTTTATATTAAATATAAATGTTAAATATAGATATATATATAAAATAAAATTATAAAATTGAAAAATACAATCAAATATATATAAACATAACAAGTCAATTTAGAATATTTTTTAAATAGAACTGTAATTTTTTATTTTAACTATAATACATAATTAGAAAATTACTTACAATATATTTTTTATGATAGTAAAAATCGAAAAATATCGAAATTTATAAAAATTATAAAATTATTAATAGAATAAATAAAATTCACACAAAAAAGTATGTGGATTTAAATAATAATATTATTAATAATACCTCCAAGAACAAAACATGACACACAGGAAATAAATCCACTGAGAAAACTATTGAAAGGAAATGTGCCGACTAGACAACAATATATGAATTGTATGACACCCGTTAGAAACACATAAAGTAGATAAGCATCTATTATTTTAAGCTTTTTTGGTGTAGTTTTCGTATACTCTTGCCAAAATTTTGCAATAACTGCTAATGCAGTCATTTTTCTACAAATTTTTTAACGTTTCGGTTATTTAAGGTTAGACTAAACTTCAAGGTTAGTATGCGTGGCACAGATACTATCGTTCTATTAATATGTCGGTATATATCGATACTTTTTATTTATATATCGATACTTTAATTATCGATAATATATATAATTTTAGAAAATATCGATAGTATCGAATGTTAATATAGAGGTTAAAATACGTTAAGTAAACAAAATAAACGTAAAAAATATATAAAAGATATATCCTTAAAAGATATATAATAAAAGAATGTTACTTATATTAACAAAATGACAGACGAAAAAACACAAACACAAGAATTTAAATTAGATCCAGATTGTGAATTGCGATTTGAAGTTGAAACGAAAAATGAAAAAGTTACATTAGAGGTACAATATTTTATTTATATTTTTATATTATTTTTATATTATGATTATATAATATTTTTATTTCTATTCTAATGCATCATAATATTTATAATAATGTTTTTATAGTTAAAAAATGGATTAGCAGAAGTTTTTGGTACAGAATTAGTAAAAGGAAAAAAATATGAATTTACAGCTGGTGCAAAAGTAGCTGCATTTACTTGGCAAGGCTGCACAGTAGAATTAGTTGGGAAAACTGATGTTAGCTATGTTGCAAAAGAACACCAATGGGTCTTTATTTAAATTGTCATGCTGCAATGGAAAGGCTTAGAGAAGCTGCAGAAAAAGAAGACACTAGAGGTCCAATAACAATGATTGTTGGCCCTTGTGATGTAGGAAAATCAACTCTTTGTAGACTTTTATTAAATTATGCAGTTAGAATGGGTCGTAGACCAATTTTTGTAGACTTAGATGTTGGTCAAGGTCATATAGCAATACCGGGTACTGTTGGAGCATTACTAGTTGAACGTCCATCTAATGTAGTTGATGGTTTTAGCCAACAAGCACCTTTAGTCTTTCACTTTGGACATAAATCTCCACAAGCCAATGTTGCTCTTTATAATCTTCTCGTAACACGATTAGCAGAAGTCTGTTCTGATAGATTACAGGCAATAAAAAAGCCAGAGTTTCAGGAATTGTAATAAACACTTGTGGTTGGGTAAAAGGAGCTGGATATAAATTATTGACACATGCTGCTCAAGCTTTTGAAGTTGATGCAATTCTAGTACTTGATCAAGAAAGACTCTATAATGAACTTGTTAGAGATATGCCAGACTTTGTTAAAGTGGTATTTTTGCCAAAAAGTGGTGGAGTTGTAGAAAGAAGTCAAACTCAGAGAACAGAAGCCAGAGATCAAAGTGTTAGAGAATATTTTTATGGATCTAGAATGCCACTTTATCCACATAGCTTTGAAGTGAAGTGGAATGAGGCTAGATTATATAAAATTGGAGCTCCAGTACTTCCTGCATCTTGTATGCCACTTGGAATGAAAGCAGAAGATAATTTAACAAAATTAGTAGCTGTTACACCTGGACCAAATCTTCTTCATCACTTATTATCTGTTTCATTTGCTGATTCACCAGAAGATGATGTAGTACAAACTAATGTTGCTGGATTTGTTTGTGTGTAAGAATCACCATTAAAATATTTTAATATTATGTAATATTGTTCAGTAATAATTATAATATTATAATTATTAATATAGTTACTATTTTTAAGAACAATTTTGATATTGAAAATCATTTTTTATTTACAGGACTAATGTTGATGTTGATAGACAAACATTTACAGTTTTAAGTCCACAACCAAGACCTTTACCAAATACAGTTTTATTACTTTCAGATATTCAATTCATGGATAGTCATTAACTTTTTAATAATTTATAAATTTAATAAAATAATTTTTTATTAATATATAAATTTGTATTATTTTTCCCATACCTCTTTCTTTTCTGATGATAGTATTTATTTCAAAATCAAAATTTTTATTATAAAATTTAAATTTATATATATATAATATAATATATATAATATATATATAATATATTTGAATTATTTAATAAAATATATGTACATATGTATATTTATATGAATTTAATATTTCAAATTTTTATTCTTTTAATAAATGCTTTATATAAATTGTAATTTATATAAAAAAATATATTAATATAAATAAATAAGCTTAAATATTTCTTTTACCTTTTTTTTTATATTTCAATTTTAATTCTTATAAAATTAATATTTTTTTTATAATAATGTTTTCACCAAGTTTAATAGATCGAATATAAAGATGTCAGTAGTGTTTATGAAAGTAGAATGAAATAAAACATAATCAAACTAATAGCTAAATTAATTCTTTAAAACAAAAATGAAAAATATTCAATCTAATACTCCAAATATTTTTATTTTTGAGAGAAAATTTCGCGAAATAATTTATGAAGTTCAACGAAATACAGTAAATATTATTTTTGTAAATTTTTTAATATAAATGTATCATATAGAAAATTTAAATATGAAAATGATATTAAAATAATTCAATCTCTTAATTATTAATTATTAATAAATATTATAATAATTAAATATTTAATAATACATATTTTTTTAGAAAGAGTTAAATAACTTAGAAAAAGAATGTCTTTTGATAAGTGAAGAGCTTTGTTCAAAAAATTCTCTTTTACAAAATGAACGAAAAATATCGAATGAATTAAGAATTCGTTTAAAATCAGCGTCAGAAGCAATTAATCGTTTAGAAGAAGAAAAAATGCGTGATAAAATTAATTATTCAAATTTATCAGTAAATTATGAAAATGTGCTTAGAGAACGCGAAATTTTAACAAAAGAAACCCTATTTTCTCAAACAAAAGCTGCAAAATTTCAATTAAAAATTGAAAATTTAGAGCATATATTACAACGAGAAATTCAACAAAAAGAAAAACTAGAACAAACATTACAAGAATTAAAAAATAATAGTGAAAAGATCATTATTAATATTAATATGTAAGAAAATATAAATTTTTATTAAATTATCTATTTAAATGCAATTATATTATTTTTCATTTATATTATGTACTGCATAATAAAAATTGCCATTAAAGTAATATTTATATAGATTATATAGATTAATTTTTCTTTGAAATTTAAGAATTATTTAATATATTATATAAAATATTTCAGAAATAAGTAATCAAACTTTGATGTCTTATTTTATTTTTTGAAAAAAAAAATTGCATAATAAAATTTGTACTTAAAGATTTTTTTTTTTGAGACAAAAATCTTTTGTTTGTAATAAATTATTTAAGAATATTTAAAATTTACTTAATGAAATAATTATTGAAAATAATTTTCTTTTATTGTTTAATATTTTATATGTTATTCTTTGCAGTTTCTGTTAGCTTGCACATATATAAAATAAATTATCTTAATTAAATTATCTTAATGATCAATTATTTAAGTAGAAAACTACTATGATATAAAGTGCCTTTTAGAATAATTTTTTTTTGTTCAATTATAATATTTGTATGTAACAGAAAAAAAATGTTGATGGTAATTATTCATATAAAATTTCAAGGTGAATAAAAATATAAAAAAAAATATTATATCTCAAAAAGAAAGAATTCACGCTTTTGACTTATATATGACTTTTTTCATTTTTAGAAAAATTTGATTATTTATTTTCTGAAATATTTAAAATATATGCACATAGAATGTTATAAAAATATAAAACAGATGGATACTAGAATTTTTTTTAATCATTTTGATAGAATTTTTAAGTATCTCACTTTTATAAACATACTCTATATTTTCAATATATAGGATGTTAATATAACGTGTAAAACTTCTTTGAAAAATTAATTCTAGAAATTAAAACACAAAAGTGCACAAAAATGTCAATTATTAATTGTTAAAACATTTATTATTATAAATTATATAATGGATTTTGCATTAATAAAACGGATGAGTGAAAATATTTTATCTATTACTCATTCTTTCTTAATTTCATTTTATTTAATATAAATATTATATAATATATAATATATAAATTATATATATCTAATATAAATTGTTTGTAACTTAATAAATTTTATCAACATTTTTATTCTTACTTTTATATTTATTTTTGTCTCTAAAAGTATAAAATTCTCATGTATTTCACGAATATATTGACATAATTACATGTGTATATAAATAAATAATAATATTTACTTATTATTGTAATATCATTTTTATCAAAAATATCAAAAATATTATATCATTTTTATCAATTTTTTATTCTTTTTTAAATCAGGAATATGGCTAAAATTGAAAAAGAACAGAAATATCTATTAGAAAGTGCCAAAGCTATAATCCAATTAAATAAACGTTTGCAAACTTTTGGTCTATGTTTTCATGCAATTAATCAAAAAAACAAAGTTGATATAAAAAATTTACAACATAAACTAATTACTCTTTCTGTTAACGAATTTATGCAATCATCTAATATTAACACAGTACATCCGGAAATAGAAAATCTGCATTCTAAAGTACATACATATTATAATTATATTATATAATCTTTTAATATAAATATATTAATTTAAAAGAAATTATATTATGTAATCAATTAAGGATATATATATATATATATATATGAATTATTATTGTGTAATTTATTTATAATAATTATTTATTCATATTTCTTTATTTATTTATTACATTATTTATTTTTAGCTAAAAAAAATGTTAATGGAATTGAAATTAAAAATGCAAAATATTGCATTATATGAAGAAAAATTGAATATTATATTCAATGAATTATCCATAAATTTAACACAAATACAACAATAATCTATGACATTATTTAATCAATAATGAAATAATTATAATAAATAAATTTAATCGAATCAATGGTTATCAACATTTATTTCATTTTAATTTTTTAATACATCTGATAAGTAATAAGTTTATTTCAATTTAATAAAATATTTCGAAATAAAATTACATTACTAATTATTATAAAACATGTTAAAAAACTACTAATAATTTTGTATATATAACATCATCTTTGTTTTGAATGCAATTGGAATTTTAAGAAAAGATTATTCGTTAATTCGTTGCCATTTTTAATTATTAAAATTAAAACTGGAAATTTCCAGCAATATTTTGATTTAATGATTAAGTATAAAAAAAATTTTTCTTAAAAAAGAAATTGTTCGTATATAATGTATAGTTTTCTTTTCTTAAATAGCATAATCTATATATTAAGTTGAAAAAAGTCATTGTTGATGTTGAAACTATTGTTACAGTGTATGCGAATTCGCGTGAATTATCAGAATCACTCTTTAAAAATTGTTTCAATAAATTATGCGAAATTATGTGAATAATTAAACAAATGAAATATTATGGCCATAATTATACATATATACCAATTATACTATTGATCAAACAAATTTAATTTTTCATTCATGTTCATGATCTGATAATAATACAGTATAATATTTTGAAAATTAATAATTAATAAATTTAATGTACGAAAATTAGATTTTAAATATTTGGATATACATTTTTTAATTCTAACATTCTTAACATAGTCGAATAATTTGATAATAATTTAATATTTTTAGAAAATTTTTTCATCTTGAAATAACTCAATCGATTTAAGAAATAATATAATGTAATATATAAATATTGAAGTAATATTATGTACATTATATATTATTTCAGTAAAGTCTTTTATAAGAATTTTTTAAATATATATTTTTCTAAATTCATATAGATATGAAGAACTATTCATATATATATATATATAGTACTCATAAGAATTCACTTGTTTCACTATTCGTGAAAATATATACGAAAAAATATCTACTAAAATAATAATCTTATATTTTTAAAGAATAATTCATATATATAGTGTAAATAATCTATTTGTAATTATACAAATAAGAATTTATTTCATTATCTATATTTTTTATGTTGCTCGTGTTCATAAGTATTCATATGAATTCATGTCCATTGTAACCATAGTTTAAGTCATCGTAATTATAAATAATATCAATAACATTATAAATGAAATTATTATGTAACATTATTATTCGCAACTAATTGATAATATAAGTAATGAATAAGTAATAATGAAAATGACAATTAAAAATTGTGTTTCAATATTAGAGGAAAGACAGGTTATAATAATAAAAATAGACAAATAGGATTAATATAAAATGTATTATAATAATCTTATATTTTAAGTATAAGTGGAAACAGATCGAAATCCCTTTTTCTCGTTCATAAAAAAGCAAAAAGAGAGAACCCTCTGTTTCTTCAGAAAAAAAACTATTACAACAAGCGTTTCAAATAAAGTCCATATTCCATCTTTTTTATTACATTTTTTTATTTTTTTTTATTATTTTCCTTTTTATTACTTCAACAATAGAGAGAAAGAAAAGAATAAAAAGATATGAAAAGAAAATCGAAAGAGCCTTCTTTTCTTGAGTTTTAAATTTGCACTAATTATTAATTAATGAATTAATTAAATGAAGAATTTCTCTTCGATCCGGTGAAAAAGCTAACTTGTGATGACATGTATGTATATATATATATATATATTGCATAAATATATATATATATATTATATATTATTTATATATTTATATATAAAAAATGACCGCCCATTGTTCACCTATTCGCACCTCCTTTCTTTTGTATTTTTTCTTTTTGCAAAGTCTTATTAACAAGTAGCTTCAAAATGCTTTGTAAAAAAGAA